TGGAGAGGAGGTGCTGCCACCAGCCACCATCACCAACCTTCTTTCCCTTGGCCCTCCCATGCAAGCAGCCACCAGCCAAATCCCAGCTGGCCGCACAAGCAGCCCACTTGTGGGGTGCAGAAGGGGATCTATGGCTCCTTGGGCAGCTCTCGTGTCACAGCCAGCCATTCTCAGGTCCCTTACGGGCATGTTATGGGATGCAGTGTCCACAAGGAGCCAAAGAGCCGGATCACAGTGATCTGGCTTGTAGCTTCCTAGAGCAGAAAGTTGGCACCTGTGTGGAGGTTAGCAGACTGTGCATTACTCTGGGCCTGTGTCAAAAGTTTTAAAAAGAAATGTAAAAGTACTGTGTAGTCTCCATCTGCGCATGTGAGTTCTGCCCCAGATGACTGGATCTACTGAAAGGAAGCTGAAGTCGGAGCTTACTCTTACTTGCTTTTGCAGCGTCGTAGAGGCTACGCCTACGTGCATGTAGCATACCAAAAGTACAGACTTCAACAACTAAGCATCTCATGTGTCTCATGAGACTTTCTGACAATAATATCAAAGGTGTTGAATGGTTCATAAATCGGGACTTGGCATTTTCTGGATAATTGAAGGGAGAAGGCTGAGGGAGGTCAGAGTGTCAGGGACATCGCTACTGCCAAAAGGATATGCCAGAATGTTGTATTTGTCTGTGTGCTTCATTGCGGTGTTTAAAGGACCCCTTGCAACTGTAGTGGGTGTCCTTCGTTAAGCTAATGCTAATAGCTGTAACCTATAGAAAACATAAGGCCTTATACTACTACTCACCTGCAAGTATTTCCTATATTCTTTCCAGCTTTAAAGATACTATCTTAAGGTGGACAAGCAAACATAGTAAGCAAGAGCCCGGACTCATGCATGAGAAATAGGCAATCTTGTGCTTAACAGTTGTGCATGACACTGATGTGCTCAGGCAGCATTTGTAAGTACACAGAAGTGTGTGAATTCTGTGGTCGCAGTTCATGCAGCTGGGCCTTTGCTCTTCAGATTGTTATTAATTAATAGAAGTAGGTGGAGTTTTTTTCTTCAGTGAGCAAACGTTTGGTCTGCTTACCTATTCATGTGGATGCTTAGGTGAAGAAAACCCAAGTAATTTCCTTTGAAGAAAATTGCAGTTTTAAGAGCCAACTTGTTTGAAAACAGGCTACATTTAATAGCTTTTACATAACGTATTTCAAAATGCTGAGCACCAGCGTCAGCTCCCCACTTTAGTGCTGGTCAGGTGAAGCCAACCCAGCAGGTTTCCTTTCTGTAAGGTCTCAGGTAAGATGAGATAAGACCTTTGTTCTTCTCTGAAGACACAAATGCAAACAGAGCATTGCCAATATTAATTCCTTCCATATAACAAAGAAGAAATCAATCATACTCCTGTTCTCTCTTGAGCCAAGTCATGGGCAGAGTAGAAGTTACCTTTTTATGCCACATTTGCATGTATTTTGTATAGGCTTTACAACAGCAGCAGGAGGAAGCCTAGGGTTGATCCATCTAACTCTCCTCCTGAGACAAGCACAGCACTGCTGAGGACCTGCAGCCGCTGCCCAGGGCTGACCTGCCTTGGCTACCTGGCATGACTTTGCTGTTGAGTCCATTTTGGTCAAATGATAAATACTCGCTGCTTATGTAGTGTAGTTTGGTGTTTGTTTCCTTCAGTTTTTTGTGTTCAGACATTAATATAAAAGTAGGAGGCAGTTTCGTTCTTCTGCTTCTTAAGTCTTGGAGATCTGATGCCAGTAGGCTCCACTGGGCTTGATCTTGTGTTGGGAAACTTTACCACCGTATTACCTGGATGAGGATTGAATGCGGGTAAAACGCAGCATAGCCTATATTGTAAGGGGACTTGTATTATTCAACAGTCAGTCTTTTGTCTATTAAAAAAGAAAGAAAAGTAATAGGTGGACAGAGCAAGGATGTGTAGCGGAGCTTTGCTTTTTTAAATAGATACTCTTTCTGTTACTTCCCTTCAATTGTAGATCACTAGGGATACTTTTAGACTGAGTTTAACCATCAAATCATAACAGCAGCTTCAGTGTAAATGATCAACTAAATACAGCTATATGCAAAGTATCAAATAAATACTTTTTTAAATCACATGAAGTTACCCTCACTTAGCAAACCACAAAACAGAAACTCTAATCTTGGAGTTTATTTGGGCAAGTGAAGAATTTAGTCTTAAATATTCTGACAAAATAGAATCCAGTATTTGTAACACAGAAGTAATGCTAAAACATATTAAGCCAGGTTAACCCTGGCACAAGGATGCATAAATTTATGTCAGCCAACTTGCACCAGCAGAAAATTGGACTTTGAGACACTTAATGGCATAGTTAGGACTCAATTACAACCGAAGTGCCTACCTTAACAGGAATGCAAGTCTCTCAGCATGTGACCACAGTTGCAGGGCATGGGAGGTTTTTCTTCTGTAGTACTCCTCTGGAGTGGCAGCAGCAGTGAGCAAGCTGGGAAGTCTAGCCGGGCCTCTCACATACTCCTCCTTAGAAGCTTTTCATGGCTTGGCTCCTTGGATGAGAGAGAATCTGATTATTTTGAAATGCTAAATTTCTGGGGCTAGTCATTGGAATGAAACCAGAGGTGGGCAAAGTGACATCTTCTGCATTGCTTATTTTGCAAACCTGTCAGCAGGTCAGGGTGTTGGGTAGCACCAGCAGCCTTTTTTAATCTGTGAGCTTCATCTAAACCTTCTGTTTCCTTCACCATTGTCCACCAGGTGTGTCCTGTGAGTTGAGCTCTCTTGGGTGCCAGAAGGCTCTGTCTCTCACCTCCTCAGTGGTTTGAAGGAGCCCTGAGTACAAGAAGGAGATGAGGGAATTTTAATGGAGCCAAAGCAAAACTCCTGCTTGCTACTGTAGTCACGAAGCAGGGAACTCATCTCTCCCAGCTCTTGACATCCAAAAGCTAGCTGTCCAGCCGAAGGCGGCAGTCTGTGCCCTGTGGTCAGTGCAGAGAGAGGGGCACTATGAGGCACTACCTCATTCCTTAGCATGACACATATTGCCTGAGAGATGCCTGACACTTTCCATGGACACAGGTGGGAGCCTAAACAGCCGGTCTGTGTGAGCTATAAAATAAGTCCTCCGTAAAAGCATTGCGAGGATTGAGCTTTTGGAGAAAGAACCAGCTGCTTTTGTTAGCTTCACCAATGCATTGCAGGGAGGAGTGTGGCTGTGCCTTTGCAGGCTCTTGCCCTGCGATGTGTGAGAAGTGGCTCATCCCATGCTGAAAATGGTGTGGTGTGAAGGTACAGCCAGGTTGCCTTGTGGTGCCTTGTCACAGAGCCAACTTCCAGGCTGCCCGTGTGTCCAGTGTGCTCCCTTGGCACGCGTGAGGGGGCAGAAGGCGCTCCTGGCCAACCTGCCCTCCTTCCCTCAAACTGTAGCGGGTGGCTGCACAAGGTAGGAGCTACACAGTGATGGTGAGCTGGGGCCAAGGAGACATAAGGTGGGCCTCTCCGCAGCCTGGGTATGGTCATCCTTTCCATCATTCCATCACTTGTGACAAGCATTTTAAAAAACATTTATTGTTTGCAGTTGGGAGACCAACCTGACACACCGTGGTATTTTTCTTTTTCCCTCCTTTTTTTCCTTCTAACTCTACAGAATGCCTCAGTTTTCAGGGTAATTTATTGCTTTCAGTTAAACTTTTAGCTGGATGTTTGCTGTTAAAATTTTTGGCAGGATTAAATACAAATACGAGGTCAGCCTGATGCATTGTGTTTGGAAAGCTGTCCTGGCTCTAATCAGATCGCTGAGGATGTGTCATCTCACCCTCTCCCCTCCTCATTACCCCAGGTTTCTTGTACTAAGCTCTGTACCCTATGTGAAGAACATCACCCAGGAGCTAGTACAGAGCAACACAGAAAGCTTTTATTTTGTGACAGATGGTTTGATGTGAATCATGTGTCTCACGTATTAAAATCTTACCCCAGAATGTGTCCGACGTGCCATTTTAAGCCAGGGTCTGAAGCAGTCTCCTCCAGTCAGGTGTTGGTTCCACCAATAAGCACGTTTATGTTTATTAACTCCCCCTTCTGTTTCGACAGGATGACTTGCTGTCCTTAAAAGTTGTCAGTGTCCTCCACCACCTCAGCATCAAAAGAGCCATTCAGGTTTTGAGAATAAATAACTTCGAACCCAACTGTCTGCGCAGGAGGCCATCTGATGAGGTACTGCTTTAAGATGAAACTATGAAGAGGAATCCTTTAGGGTTTTTCTCTGATGTTTCTGATTATTCCTGCTCTGACCTCTCCTCCTTTCTCCTCCTTCGTATTTCATTCTGTTTCATTTTCAGTTTCCTTTTTCTCATGTTGTTCTTCCAAGTCTCAGGCTCTGCCGTCACTACCTGGAACACCACTTTCTTTCCTCCACCTGTCATGGCCCCAGACTCAAGTCCCCTTACCAAATCTCCTGCTCCTCTTCCTAGCCAACAGCTGCCTGTTTTGGCTTAGTCTCTGATGTGCTGTCTTGAACGTAAATTATCTTGAACTCAGTGCACTGTTGCCATGAGTCCTGTGTAACTCTCTGGAAAGTTGATGGCTATGTCAAAATTTTCTGTGTAAAAGGAGTTTGGCCGTGTTACCAGACGAGAGACTGCTATTAGTTTGCTTTGGAAGCAGCATATGCTGGATAGGGCAATGGATAATGAAACAATCCAGACTCTTGGATTTAGATTCATGATGCGTATTTCCAAGAAAAGCACAGCAGTCATGGAGCTAGTTAAATTTTCAGTTTTACTGGTAGAAACTGCAAGTAGTTCTAGTGCACAGCAGGATAATCAAATGGCATGAAGCGTAATAGAGACCTGCCTACTGTCCAGACCCATCACCATGTTGGTGTTGCTGCAGGAAGGCAATCCAAAAAGAGGTTTTTTTTCCCTCAAGTGCGAAGTGAGTTTGCATTCATTAAGGGTAGGAGAGGTTTGTTTCAGTAAAGATTGGGGCTGGGGCACCTGAGTCAGGAAGTCTCCTTAACTGCCTTTTCCTCCTGTTCACAGAATAACGTCACACCTTCTGAGGTCACGCAGTGGACCAATCATCGTGTGATGGAGTGGTTACGCTCCGTTGATCTGGCAGAGTATGCTCCTAATCTGCGGGGGAGCGGTGTGCATGGGGGACTGATGGTAAGGTTGTAAGCTTATTCCATTTTATTTTAAAAAATATGGCTGAGAATCGCTAGAGCAAAGTTCTGACATTATCTTTGCTGCACATACCTTGTCTTCTTATTCTACTTAATAAGAAGTCACTATCAAAATTTATTACCCTATAGTTTAAAGGACATGAATGTCTTGGGCAGAATTAGTGTGGGCAGCAATGGGTTTGATTATCTGTATTTCCCTCACAATTTAATTTAAATATGGCATTCTCCACCTCCTGTCCTATGACGCTTATCGTGCTGTTAAGCAGCCACATTCTTCCTTCCTAGACCTGGATAGGTTTTTATTTTACTTTTGTAAAATCTGTGATTTCAATGTCAAACCAGGATTGTTTTTAATTGCTCTAGCATCAGATACTCCAGGTAAGAGACTTACACTTGCAGAATTTTGTTGTGGTGATTAAGAGAGATATCCGTGCTCCAAACATTTTATGTCTGTTTATTTTCCATCATTCCTCTGGCAACGTTTTCTGGAACTAAAGGGGACGGTGGGTGAACGTTTTGTGGCAGCTTCACACATTACATGACTTAAGGGTGGATTTATCTGTTCCTTTCTTCCTACCTGCCAATTTGTTTCTATTTATAACTCAAGAAGGACAGCCTGGAGGTAGCATTTTATGAATCCTTTAACTAGTTAACTCTCTTCTCTCTCTCTTTGTTGTATGTTTCCTCTAAAATACAAACAAAAACTGCAAAGCAGCCTTAGGAGGTGACCAAGATAGGCGTGCTTGTTGATGTCCTTGAGACCTCATTAGACAGTACTGGCTTCAGCTGGATTCTCTGTGATTTGATTAACAGGTTTTGGAGCCTCGTTTCAATGTAGAAACCATGGCACAGTTGCTGAACATCCCACCAAACAAGACGCTACTGAGAAGGCACTTGGCAACTCATTTCAACCTCCTCATTGGGCAGGAGGCCCAGCAGCAGAAACGTGAAGCCATGGAGTCCCCAGACTACATCCTTTTAACAGCAACTGCCAAAGTAAAGGTAGGTCACTTGTTCTGGGTCAGTGTGTGAGCTTCCAGGCAGACATTTAGATCTCCAGTGTGCTGGTTTTGGAGGGCAATTCAGTAAGGTCTGAGAAAAGGGGCTGGCTGCTAATGAAAGAAGTATGAGAGCAGGACTCGGCAGATCTGGGTTTGACACTTGTGTCTACCATGAATGCACCGTATCTCAGCCTCTCATATGCACAGACAAGAGGTAGTACTCTTGTGTGTTGTCCTTCTGTCTGTACTATAAGATGTTTGGGAGGGAGACTGTCTCTTACTGTTTATGTGCTCATGGTTTAATGCAGTGGGATTCTGCTCTCATTTGGGATCCTTTAAATGGTCTTGTCTTAAGAGTGGTAGAATGAGGAGGCACATCTTGTTCTTTTGGATGCTACTATCGTGAAATACAGCTATTCAGAAGATCTTTGTTTAGGAGAGCAGTGGGGTTTTGACCCTTCCTCGTTGAAACATCAATGCAAGAGCAAGAGATCTGTTAATTCTTTGCTGACTCTCTAACTTCTTGTCAATTTTCTCTTCACTTGTAAGCCAAAGAAACTCGCATTCAGCAATTTTGGGAGTCTGAGGAAGAAGAAGCAGGATGATGTGGAAGAGTACGTGTGTCCTATGGAGCTGGGGCGGGCATCTGGAAGTGGGTCGAAGAAGGGTTTTAAGCCTGGCCTGGACATCAGAGTATATGATGATGACGATTTGGACAGGCTGGAGCAGGTAAGCCAGTTCTAGCAGTTTGGAGTCCTTGATTGTGCTGTCAGGTTCGGTGGAAAAACCTTTCTTTTCACAGGGAAACCTTCCTTTTGCTTTGGCCTGTGAAGGTCCTGACTTCTTGCAGTCACGCAGCACCACTAACGAACGTGTGTCTCAGCCCAAGGAGGTTCAAGCTGTGAATGCAGCACCTTCAGGACCTTCTCTGGCATAACCTTCCTCTTCTCTCCTGACAGGGCACGCTCCTCCCTTGCTCTGACCATATGGAGTGTAATCAAGCAGTTGCGCTATTTGCTGCACTTAATCGCCACTCTGTCGTGGCATACAATGAATTTATTATTCATTCATTACCTGTTTTTTGTAGATGGAAGATTCAGAAGGGACAGTGAGGCAAATAGGAGCGTTTTCTGAAGGCATCAACAACTTGACGGTAAGGCTTAAAAATGGGCTCTGTGGAATAAGATCTCTGTTTCTGTAAGATTGATATAAACCCCTTGGCAGTCGCTATTTGATACAAATTAAGTACAGCTTTTTCTTCACTATCACTGGCTCTGTTAAGCAGCTGAGTTTTGTAGTTTTGGGGGCAGTTGCTTTGATTGATTTCAGTGCATAGTGGGACCTAGTCTTTGGATAGAGTGAAGCGCCATTGGTTTCTGAGGGCTGAAGTATGTCAAATACTGTGCAAACTATGGGTATAGTGAGGCCTCATCAGAACTAGCGGTCAGATGAGGTCCTTTGGTTTTTGTACAGGGATGGAGGGGAAAAGAAAAATTGGCGGTTGAAGAAGATACCCTCCCATCATGGCTGGGAGGTTCCCCGATCTGGGAGTGGTGGCCCGTGGTCACCAGCCCTCTTTGCTGACTCTCCGCCCTGCAGGGAGGGCAGAGGACACGGCACCCAGCTCTAAGCCGGCGCGTTGCCCTTGGGCGGCGGGTTGCCAGCTGAGGGTCATGGCGCGTTTTCTTGGTGGAAGCCCAGCCTCAGCCTGCGCTCCCCCGTCGTTTGGGCCATCAGAGAGGGGACTGAGCCGCGAGCTGGTCAGGAACCAGCATGGGTGAAAAACGTCCTCAGCAGAACGAAGCGGTGGCTGGCAGGGCTGACGACGCTGTTTGCTGCTGGGCACAGGGCTGGACTGTTCCAGGTGCTTGGTTTTAGTTGTGAGGGCCTGAACCCTGACTCTTCCCTCCTTTCCTTTCTAGCACATGTTGAAAGAAGATGAAATGTTTAAAGACTTTGCGACTCGCTCTCCTAGCACCAGTATAACAGATGAGGACTCCAACGTGTGACACTAACCACCAGGCACTGACAAACGCTCACTTTCCTATGTGCAAGAAACGTCATCATTATACATGACGGGCAGCAGATCATGTACATTACATTGCTCTTGCTTCTGTTTGTTAGAAGTAATATTGGGGGATGGAGAATTTAAAGAAAAAAAAGGAGGGGGGAAAAAAAGGTGCCTACTATAAAGTTGCCATAAGAAACACCCAGACACTGGTGAATGGTAGTTGTTTTTACTATATTTAATGTACAAACTGGTGATATGTTTCAGAGTGTTGCATTTAAATTTACATAGTATCATTGTGCTCCTTTTGCTTATTCATGGCCTCAGATAATCCTTTATACTGTTTCAAAATAAGAGAAGGTGTTAGGTAGAAGTATTGTGTCTGTAGATATTGTGCATCAGCTTTCTCTAGGCTCTCAGCTGAAAAAAGATGTTGCTGCTCTTTGTCAAGTGCATTTGTTCAGCACAAATACCAGTTCTGCCCTTCCTACGGTATCCAATGTAGGATTTTAGTCATCCATGCCTTGCATAAACTCCCCGGGAGCTCTTGATTGTTGCTCTTATTTTTATACTGTTTTATTAAAAAAAAAAAGAAAAAAAGAAAAAATAAATATATGAAGTGCATATAAAAGCAAAAATTTAAATTTTGTGAGATAGAGTGATGGAAAGTTCAAGGTGTGGGGGAAGGGGAGAGGGTTGTAAAAAGATTATGCCAGTTTGCATACCAGCTGGTTACTGGAAAAGGCAGGCTGACCTTTGGAACTGTTTGCTTTCATTGCTTTTTACTAAGTGCACAGTTTAATGATCTTCCATTTGGGATGAAACAATTATAAAGCATGTTTCTTCTAGCAGTGACTCTTACGGAAACTGCACATTTTAAAACATCTTCTATCTTGTTCCCAGCAGCAGTATTTATAGTATTCAAACAAGGTTATTAACACTTCTGTGACTTAAAATATTTCGTTAAAGTTGAGAGTACTCCCTACGTATGGAAGGGATATTTCTGTGCTGTGACTAACATAAAGATGGTGTAGTTGGAAAAAAAAAAAAAAAAGTTATATAGAGAAATGTATAGGAAATATATTATTTCATAATATTAAACCTAAGGGGGGACTTTTCCTCAGAAATTCCAATATCAAACATGTTGCTCATCATTTTACCTTCTTAAAGCACAGCTCCTCTGCTTTTGAAGATCATCAGATTTTAAAAATCCTAACTAGCCAGTGGAAATCTTTTGTCAGCCTTTTGGTATTGTGAGGTGTCCTAGCTAAAAGCAAACAAAACCAAGTAACTCTGTTTACCACAGTGGTCATTCGTATGGTGTTGAACATTGCATGTATTTTAGCACAATGGCATGAAGCTTCTTTGCTTTGTAAAGGCAAAAAAAGTACAGCTGGAATTGTTCCTTGCAGTGGTGTGTTGTTTTACCAAGTGTTTGTCACTCGTTTCATCGCTCTCCTTGCTGGAAGTGAGACAGTTTCCGACACGTTGCTGGTGTGGTGCAAGGGATGTTAGATTTGTGCTGACTTTGGGTATTTCTGAAACACTATTAACAAAGCTAGGAAAGGAAGAAAGGTTCTTTCAGGGGCTTCCGGGGAGCTCCCGTCAGATGTTGGGGTAGATTGGAGACATATTCTAGAATTATGCTATTGTAACCTGATAAGCTATTGCCAGCCTGGTTCTTTGAAGGATGTGCAGTGTAGGCTGTTAATTTATGTACAAAGATGAAAAATTTTATGTGGACTGGTTATACATAATACCAAGTGCTGCCGTTTTCTCTTTAGTATCTGGAGCCAGGCAAACAATCCATAATGTATACATAAAATAGTTTGTGCTGCTTAACCGTTTGTCTACAGACAACTCACAACTGATGCTTTATTCAAAATTCCTGACTGAGTAATGTCCACAAATAATTTGCCGTCTGTTGTTTCTTCCTCTGCGGTCTTGGGGGTGTTGGAGCTATTTTATTCGGGCAGAAATACCACATTGTGTAACGCCTGCCATCAGCTTTAAGGTGCAAATGCTTGGGATGTGAATTCAGGGCTCGCTTTCTGTGAGTACTTTGCAATACAGTTATTATTTTACAAATAAGTTGGACTTAAGACGCTGCTCTCCCAAATGCTGCAGAAGCACTGGGAAGATGTGGTGCAGGCTTCTGAGCAAAAGTATTCCTCCAGATTCACTCTCACTAGACACTGGCTAGTGAACATACCGACTGGATATTCACAGGGGAAAAAGAAAAGGGGGCTAGCGACACATTATTATGTGCTGAAATAGGCACAAAGAAATACTCTCTGTTTTCTCTTCAGTCCAGTGCTATTAGCAAGCGTATTGGCAACAGCAGATGATGGTTTATTTTAAGTCCAGTGGAAGTAGCATTCTCTCCAAACAACCCTTTTCCTGCGTGTACCGGCTGGAAACCAGGTTGTCCCTTCAAAGCTGCCTGTCGTCTGAACCTTGGTTATTTTATGGGGGTGGAATACGAAAGCAAGTGATAAAGTCAGGAAGTTTATGTGCACATGTGCACAATTGATACCGTTGGAGTATTTTAATTTGTGCGTGTTTGAAGAGGGCAACATAACTACTGTGTATTGCCATGTAAAATCCAATAAAGTCTGTGGAAAATGCCAAGTGTTTCTGGAAGCTGGTTCCTTTTTAATGTATCCTCTTTGTTTCCTTTTTATTTTCCTAGGAAGCTCATTTTGTACTATTTAAAAGACAAAGGAGGGAGAAGGGGCAAAATCGCACGTTTTTTTGTGGACTGATTAGTTTGTTTGTCAATAGTGCCTGCAGAAAGACTCAGGTAATAGCTAAGAAATCAACTATCCCAACTGTTTTTACTTATTTCTGGGATCCAGATTTGAACCATCTTGAGTTGTTCGGTATGGTGTCATTAGAAAGTGTTCCCCATTGCTCGGTGTGTGCTCCTCGGCGAGTCCTTGCGGTGTGCCGAAGGAAGGACCAGCTCTGTCGTTCCCCCCCCGTGCCCTCGCAGCCATCAGCAGTCACAGGAGCTGCACCTACTTTGCCAACGGGAGCTGAGCTTCCCCAAACTACATTTTGTTGCTGGGGTGTAAGTACAAATGATGATCGGTGTTTTGCCCAGTGTAGCCCAGATACCGAACCAGAGAATGCGGAACCCCTGTCTCGTGGCGTTTGTTTGTGTGGTTTTGTTCATCAGTTCAACATTTCAGCCGGAACACTGAGGATAAACACTTTGAAACCTAGATAATAAACTTTTGTGGTCTGTTTGTTTACAGTGATGAGGAAAAGATAGATGTCAATTGATGAAGAGCCTATGCAGATTAAACCCAGCTTTTTTCTGTTTGCTTAAATTGCATACATGCTTAGGAATGGAGAAGTAATACAGAATAACCTCTGGAATCACTGTTCTGATTCCCATCCAACTAGGTATTGTTGCATCCTGGCTTTCCCTTTAGGAGAGGAGTTGCAATTATCCTACCTCCATGCTTTCTATACCTTGTACCGCTTTGTTGTTACGAATGTTTAGTGCATACTTCATGCTTCACCTTAGTATTTTGGCATATTCATTTGCAGCAAGAGCTTTTCCTATTGACCCTCTTTATCCTCAGCTGGGAGGAAGAAGATAGTGCGCTTCGAGGCAGCTAAGAAGCAAAACCTGCTGAGTTGGCATTAGATTTGGAGCAAGGAGAGAGTATTAGGTGCTGGGGAAGCCTTGAATAGAAAGGAAATTAGAAGTACAGTCAGAGATAACAGGAGAAGCAGCAGTGCGCTCCCTAATCATAGCTGTGAGAAGGTCTTGAAGGAACAGACACGGGCCTGTGCATGACACATTTGAAGACCTGTGGAAGACACGACATGTGATACATAGGACATGATCTGTTTCTTAGAGGGACCGGAGGGCAGTGGTGGGACTGACCAGCCTGGGCACCTCAGAAGGTGTTTCCCTGGGGTGGCAGGAGCATATGAACATCTGTAGGCAGAAGGAGAGAGAGATCAAATGAAGATGTTTTGAGCAATGAGAGTAAAGAGGGCAGAGAAAGACAGATCCTCGACACTTTTTTCACTCATTCAGAATGAAGAGGAGGAGGAAGAGCAGCATGCAGCAGGACAGAGCCTGTTTCTTGAGAATGGTGGTGAGATTCCGGGGCCGATGAGGAGACCATAGTGGTGCATTTGGCACCAGCAACATCCGGAGCTGAACCAGGGGTGGCTCCTGCTGCAGCGGTAACGTACGTTCAAGCTTTCACAGCTAGGGAGACTGGACTTTTTTAAGGTTAGGAAGCTTGTTTATTTGTAGCTGTATTTGATAGTCCTGCGGTGCATTGACTGTCCAAGCTTCTCTGAGATAATCCAGTTACAGGCAGCAACAGCGCAAGCTTCTCAGCTGAGCCAAAAGTCCGAGTCCGTGTGCATTGCCATGGCACAACTAATGCCACTGACAGTAGCGGCAGTTAATACTGGGACACAGGCAACAGCCCATCAAAAAAGACCACCACGTCATTTCAAGCACCCTGTAGAAGTCTCTGGGTTTGGATGTGTACCCTTCTCTGGAGGTTTAAAAGAAAAAGGTGGTTTCATCTCCAGGAAACACCCAGTGCCAATAAAATGGCTTCTCTGTAATAGTCCTAGAAAGGAGATCAAGGGAGATCAGAACAGACTGGAATGAGATAGCATCAGCTAAAGAAATGGTGCCGGAATTAATAGTAAGGAAAACAAGCACAGATGAATTCAGATGTGAAAGTTACTGGGCCTGTTGGGCTGGTTGCTGCTCGGTGAGCTGCGGGGAAACACACCCAGGAGAAAGCCCGTCTGCCTGCTTGCAGAGCTCGGCTCTGCTGCTGCCATGCCCTTCATCTGGAAGGCAGCAGGTAACCATGTGCGTGCTTCGTAGGTCTGGCTGAGCCCAGTGCCGACAGAGCCTTCTCTGGAAAAGGAAGGGACCTCCCTGGGGCGGTCTGCATGTGCAAACGACCTCCTCCTACACAGAAAATGGGCCAGAAGATCTCGCACGAGGACAACCAGGAGAACAAGGCTGAAAGTCTGGTCATCTGTGAAGTCTTCAGCCAAGGCGTGGCCCATGCGTCTCAAAGGCTGAAGGACTATCTTGGTTTTGTGGATCCTCAGAGCAAATTCCAGCCAGCCACCAACACGCTGAGTGAGATCTTTTTGGTCAACTTCATCAGCTTCTGCATGGAAAAGTGAGTGGAGGAATGTATCACAACCAGCAAAATGACCAAGCAGCAGTCCTCCCTGTTCGGGGTGGACTGGATTTGGACTCTGTCTGGAGCTGACAAGCAAATCAAACTTCAGATTGCTGTGCAGGCTTTACAGCTGGCCGAGCTTTTCCATAGCGAAGGCAGCCCTGCTGAGGCGGTGGAGGACTGCTGCCGGGAAGCCGTGCTGGCAGATGAGCGCTTCCAAAACAGGAGCAGGTTTGAGAAGCTGGCAGAGTTCTGCCGCCTGGTGGGATGGGACTGCCTGGGCTTGTTCATCGTGTTTGGTGTGCCAGGGAAGCCCAAGGACATCCGAGGAGTCATGCTAGACAGCGTTGCCAAGGAGGAGCAAAAATGCCGCCTGTCGGGCAGGGATGTGCTACGGCAATTTGTCACGAGTACTGACAGCTTCCTGCCCACAAAAGACATGTTGGAAAGCTGCCTTGGTGCAAAAAATGGGCTGAAGGAGGTGGGCAATGTGTACATAAACTTCCTGCAAACTGCTGGTTAACAGCAGTGGCTTCTGCACGCCGGCACCAGAGCTCAGCTCTGTCTCTCTGGCTTTTCCCTAACACCCCCTTATTTCCCACCCTCTCCTCCACCCATCGCGTTCCCTTAGCTCCTGCAGAAGCCAGGCTGAGTCAGTCTCTCCAGGTTTTAAACAACAGGATGTACCTGCCAGAAAAATGTGTTCATAGAAGGCATGTCATTTTTCCATAACATTTTGTTTGCCAGACGTCAAGTCTTGCTGGAGCCAATGAAAGCTTTATCGCCCTGAGCCTTTGGGAGGTCGCATTTGACTTGACCCAGTCTTTGTTTACTGTGTGGCAGATTTTTTTTCTGTAATAGGAAGTGGAGGCTGTAATAAAGAAAATGCACTGGTGCCGGTCACAAGATTTGCACTAAGTGTGAAGGACAATACCAGGGCTTAAAAACACTGGTTGGGAGGCATGAGCTGGTTCACAACTAAGAGGAAAAGCCCTTCCTGTGATAGGAATGGGCTGTATGACAGCCCTATTAATTACCTGCCTGTTAAAAATAGGTGGGTGCCAGGCTGCAGGAGGGCCTTGGAGCAGTG